TAGGAAGAGGGGGTGGCACACTCAGAAAGTGGCGAACGGGAGACACACAACTGTTCACTCTCAGAGTGAGTTTCTAAAAGAATTCTGGAGGAAAATGCCCCAGACCCTGTTCCCAAGATGCCATATTTAGTGAGTACACAGGAAATGAACAGATACAGTAGATTATCCTACAACATTTCATGCCAGCACTTCTCTCCATCAGTAGTATTTCAGTGAGCTCTATGAGACTGTAGCGACCATTCTGACGAGACTGGCAGTCTGATCCTTGTTTACACAAACTGGTACTACTGTATCTTCACACCTAATGCCCATTTTCCCCCAGAGAGAGTATATTGGCATCAAAACATCTTGGCAGGGAGCTAGACTACATGACCCTGGCGGTCCTTTCTTACCCTATGATTCTATGATTCCATAAACAGATTGGATCAAAAAAGAGATTAGTGACTATAAGTGGAGATTTCTTCCTTGCCAGATTAGTCCAGCCAAGTTGTCTGAGACAGGCGTATTCTTGCTTTCCAAGTGGAAAAAAAAAATCCTCCTTGCAACCCGGAAGCACCTCTTGAGACCTCTTTAATTGGCTAGGCAAGGAGCAGAGCTGCCAGAGGCTACAGCAACCTTGCTAAGTTGACAGAAAGAGAAGGTATCACCACCTATCACATGTTTGCTATGGTTTCCCTATTAAATAGAGGAAGTTTAGTGACAAGGCCATGACATTTATTACAAAACTCCTGGAAGTTAAGAAAAGAGGTTAAAATCAATTTTTCTATGCCTAATAGAAACACTCATGATTTTTAGGCCCACAAAATTATCCTGTTTACAGTTTATTCATGTATTTGTGCTGCATGCCAGGTTTTGGGAGAGTTTGTGAAAGGTGTTTAATTTAGTGTTTGTGAAAGGTTCCACAATGATGACTGTGGTACATGAAATCCCCAGGACAATTAGGGCATACTCAGCAATAGTGAAAGCTCCCCTCACGTTGCTCTGATAGTGTGATTTGGAGGAGACACTTTCAGGGGTGAAAGAGAGTGGTTAAATCTCCAGGTCCATTCAGTCCTTGGCCTTTCTGCTGAACCTTCAAACAAGGATGCTAGTTTGTGTCATTTCTCAAGGTGTTTTTTTATGATGTGGACAGCTGTCTAATAGGAAGTTGACTGAGACCACTAACACAATTCACATAACATGACTTAAGCCAAGCTGTGCATTGTGACAAAGTTCCTCCTCTACCTTGGTGGGTCTTGCACTTATTGGCGGATTTGCTCGCCTTGGAGCTTCACAGCAGCCCGCAGTTTGGCCGTTTTCGTGAACCCACAGTCCAGGTCAACTCCTCCTGTGTCTGACCAGGAGTTGGGAGGTTTGGGAGGAACCCCGGCCTGCCCTCTACTCCGGGTTCCAGCGCAGGGCCCTGTGGAATACAGCTGTTTAGAGTGCTTCCTGGAACAGCTGTGCAACAGCTACAACTCCCTGGGCTTCTTCCCCATGGTCTCCTCCCAACACCTTCTTTATCCTCACCACAGGACCTTCCTCCTGGTGTCTGATGATGCTTGTACTCTTCAGTTCTCCAACAGTATGAGTTCTCACTCTCAGCTCCTCACGCCTCTTGCTCCCAGCTCCTTACACACGCACCAAAAACTGAAGTGAGCTCCTTTTTAAAACCCAGGTGCCCTGACTAGCCTGCCTTAATTGATTCTAGCAGCTTCTTGATTGGCTGCAGGTGTTCTAATCAGTCTGTCTTAATTGTCTCCAGAAGGTTCCTGATTGTTCTGGAACCGCCCCTGTTACCTTACACAGGGAAAAGGGACCTACTTAATGTGGGGCTAATATATCTGCCTTCTATTACTCTCCTATCGTCATCTGACCCGACCCTGTCACAGCATATATGCTGTTTCTATCATATATATATATATATACACACACAACTTTGCTTATCTGGTGTGCTGAGGTGCTCACTTCACACCTCACCTGAAAGGGTTAAGGTAACTGGGAAGGGGCTGCACCTAGGGAAGAATTAGCCTGGACAGGCAAACCCTAACAGAAGATGAAGCTCAGCTGAGCAGGTACAGGCTGGGCCTGTACAAAGCCAGCAAGCTGAGACCAGAAAGGGGCTGTAGGGGAAGTAATCTGTAGTTAGTTCCTGGGAGAAGGGAGGATGTTTGGGGCTATACAGTTAAAAGTAAACAGTTGTTTCCTGGAAGAAGAGTGTTTAGGCTGGAAAACTGGGGGGAGGCAGAAGATAAGGCAGAGAGGTAGAAAGGAGTCCTGGGAGTGAGCAGACCATAGTTGCTAGGCATCGGGTCCCTGGACTGGAACCCAGAGTACTGGGTTGGCCTGAGTTCCCCTACCAGCCACTGGGAAAGAGGCACAGGACCTAGCCCTGGATTGGAAAACTGTCTGGAGTGGCATGAGGATAGCTAATCTAGTGGGACTTTAATACCCCCAAAGGGGAAACACTGATAGTGACCTGGCTGGAGGGCCAAGTCACGAAGAGAGAGCGTGCTGAGTCCCAGAGAGCAAAAAGAGCTGCAGTGAGAGCAAATGACAAAAAGGAGTGTCAGATCTGGATGGAGCTAATCCCCTGAATAGACAGGAGGAGGTATCCTAGTGGTGACTGCACCCCATTACATGTGGACTTTTAATAATATACTGTGGTATGGACCGGTTTGGAAAAGAATAATATGTGCTCAAATATAAATAAACAGTAAGTCTTGCAGTGGAGACTTTACTTTGTTCATTGTTTTAAAATTCTTAAAATCGCTTCTAAAAGAGCTATGGTCTCAAGTTAACAGTGGAAACTTCAAGAGTTCCAGAAAACAGGATTCCTGTAGATAATTTTCAGAGTATGATACCAGCTATTGGACAATAGATTAATAAGGACGGTGAATTGTTCTAACAGTTTTTACAGTATTTAACTTTGTCCACTCCAAGTAAGTCCCTGATCAGCAAACAATTACACACACTTTAGTCTACACATTTATAATCCCCTTGAAACAAATTGGATGACTCACAAGAGTAAATTTAAGACTGTGTGTAAACTTCTGCAGGATCTGGCCTAAGTAATTTGTTAGTGCTCACAATACTATATGCTTCCTTAAAAAGAGAGAGTGTGTAAAATATATTCTTAAAGTCAGACTTTGCTGAAAGCAGCTATGCTATATCATTTTAACTGATGCCATCTCCTGAAATCTCCTTGCCTATTCCACCCCTTCCCACATGATATGGGGGGAAAGAAAGAAGTGCCAATCCCACTGCTATGTCCCACAACTATTAAGGAGAAATGCATTGAGCCAGAGGCATCACTACCTTCTCTCTGTAACCATGGAAGCCCCTCCATAGGAAGACTGGATGGTTCACTGTGAGGTTGATCTACTGTGTGGGTGTCACCAAGTGGAGGGAATTGTGGTGCTGTGCAATATCAATTCCTTGGGAACAACACAAGAAAATTCTTATGCAAGTTAATGCTGACTCTCAGCATTATAGCAACCTGTGCAGGTTTTTCTCTGTGAAGTCAGCCCTGAGCCTGGAAGAATCCGGGGTTTGGCAAGCCCTGGGAGACACCCAAAAGTGAGCAGAAAAGTAATGGCAACACAGCTACCAAGGGGGCCAGCGCTAGGCCCAGGGGGTAGAGCAGATACCCAGCCTTCAGTGCAGATGAAGAATCTTGTCCACAGACTTCTCTGGCTGGAAAACCACAGTGCCTGTTGAGTTAAAAACTCTGGATTGTGAATTCACAATGTCTCATGTAACTTTGCCCTTCTGATGGATTTTTCCATTAGAGATAAAATATAGCCCTCTGATTCTTGGCTCAGAATAGAATAAAATCTGGAATTTACAGTAGGTAGTGCCTCTTACTCAAGGATTCTCAAAGTACCGGCTATATGAAAGCACTCTTTCACTCCTATTCTGAAATAGCTACTTTAGAAAAATATGCAGTTTCAATCTAAAAATTGGCAGTCATCTTTGCTTCAGATACCCGAGGACAGTACCTGAAACAAGGAGAGCACATCCTATGAAATGCACATATCAATAAAGGAATCAGAGATTGGCACTCAAAGGCCTGTTACTCACACAAGGTGACACAAAGGAACTCCCTCAAAAGTGTCCCATAAGCTGATCTCCCACTTTACTCCCAACGCATCCTCATAATAAAGCAGGCCTCTTTGCTGTTTTTAGCATATATTATTTTGTAGATTTACATATTGCAAGGACTCCTGAAAAGATCACAAGGGATGGTAAGAATAAAATAGGCAAATATACAGTATGTGACTTGTGTAATGTAAAGCATAGCAAGTTTTAGGACTTTTTGGAGTGAAGTGATCTCCATGATTGCTGCTGGTGTTTTTTTTTTTTTTTTTGTGAATCTACCTACAGAATTTTGGTATTACTGATACCCCTGTCTCATACCCAATATATTTCGGTTAAGGAACCCTTCCCAGGATTTAATGATAGCACATTAGAGTTAATGAACAAAGAACAAGTCAGATCCTGAGAGAGACAGTGAAGACAAGTTGTTTTCATGAGGCTCTCAGCTTATTAGGAATCTTTCACAGCTTGGAAAGACAAACCGATTATTCCAAAGAGTGCACTCCCTCTAGTCTTTGCTACATCCCTTTCATCTGAAAATGGACCAAATCCTGCTTGCTTTCCTTATGTGAGCAGTTTCATTAAATTACTGAGACTAGGTGCTTAAAAAGCCATTGAAATCAATTGACAAACTCATTGACTTCAATAATGGACTTTGGATCAGACCATGGGTGAGATCTGGCCCCAAAACCCACCTGCTAGATCTCAACTGTTTGGATTCATTAAGAAACTATCCTGACACTTCATTAAGGAGCATTTGGAAAATATTTGCACCACAAAAATAAGTAATCCATTAATTGTTTCAGTGGTAATAATTCTAGAAATCTACCCCAGTGATAACATGACATTTTACAAAGTAATTGGTGGCATACTTGTGTTCTAATTCCTACTAATAATACTCTAGTAAAAAAAAATAATCTTACCCCAAAAGTTTGGTGGCCATGAACTATCCAAATGAGTACCGTTTTTATCCATAACATCCAAAATAATAAATGCGAAACTGGTATGTCCCGATGAAGCACTAGATTTTGATATGTCTGCGATTCAGCAGGAGAAGAAATGCGTTCACACAGCCAGTCACATTGTTTTGCTTGCATAGAAGGAAATAAAAAGTATCACATTTCCTGCTTTTAGACTCAAATTAGCAACTGTTTGTCTTATCTTGGAATGCCACATGGTTCCTGAGACGGGACAACTTCCCTCTCGTCATTTCCTCAGCTAAGGAGTGAATTGACTTAAAACAATACTAAATCTCCTCCTTTTCTAAAGCTTGCCACTGCATCCAAAGTCATCTGAAAGAGATGAGGGTTCCTTCCTTTGCCCCACAGCAATTCCCCTCACCCTGCCTGCTTTAAGCATTCCAAAACACCGATTGGCTTCAGTGGGGAATTTTGGATATACCAGGAAGGCAGGACTGGTGTCTTATTAAATATCCTTTCCCTAAGTGTCTCATGAGAGTATATTTTTATTTGTTACCCTCCATTATTCCTCAACTAGCATGAAAGCTTAGGCCTGACAGTGTGACCACTCATATGAATATTTTTTAATTACTATACTTCATAGTTCCTCTGTTAATCTAAGGATGTGTGTGGGGAGGAAAGAGATTGGTTTCTGGAACATGGGCTATCTTTGTGTTTTGAATGCTGCCTAGTGCTGTGAGGCCCTAATCCCTGCAGGGGGTTTGTACCTACCGCTGAAAAAGAAATAATAAATAGTAGGGCTGTCGATTAATCACAGTTAACTCATGCGATTAACTCAAAAAAATTAATCATGATTAAAAAAGTTAATTGCAATTAATCAGTTCTGCACTGATTAAACAATAGAATACCAACTGAAATTTATTAAATATTTTGGATGTTTTTCTACATTTTCATATATATTGTATTTTGTGTTGTAACTGAAATCAAACTGTGTATTATTTTTTATTACAAATATTTGCACCGTAAAAATGATAAATGAAAGAAACAGTATTTTTCAATTCACCTCATACAAGTACTGTAGTGCAATCTCTTTGCCGTAAAAGTGCAATTTACAAATGTAGATTTTTTGTTACATAACTGCACTTAAAAAAATAAAACTATGTAAAATTTTAGAGCCTGCAAGTCCACTAAGTCCTACTTCTTGTTCACCCAATCACTCAGACAAACAAGTTTGTTTACATTTGCAGGAGATAATGCTGCCCGCTTCTTGTTTACAATATCACCAGAAAGTGGGAACAGGCATTTGCATGGCACTTTTGTAGTTGGCCAGATATGCTATGTGCCAGATATGCTAAACATTTGTATGCCCCTTCATGCTTCAGCCACTATTCCAGAGGACATGCTTCCATGCTGATGATGCTTGTAAAAAAAAATAATGCGTTAATTAAATTTGTGACTGAACTCCTTAGGGGAGAATAGTATGTCTCCATGTTCTGTTTTACCCACATTCTGCCATGCTATAGCAGTCTCGGATGATGACCCAACACATGTTCATTTTAAGAATGCTTTCACTGAAGATTTCACAAAACACAAAGAAGGTACTGTGGAAGAAAAACACAGTCTTCGCTCTTAGGTTGTTTGCAACAAGTCCGAGACAATTTATTCTCAAGCAATTGCCAGGGGGAGAGTGCGCACAGATAGGGATTCCCCCCTCCTAGGCAGGTCTCTGCCGGACAAACAATTAGGGCAAGCATTTATACCTTTTGTTGCATACAATAACGATCAACAGCTGCATCTTGTTTATACATATTCCTTCCTGTATCTTACTTTTCTCAGCAGTTCCTGCTACAGTCTGCGTTCCATTCTTATCTAACACAAGGTCAAAACAGCATCTCTTACAGTTTTCCCACTCACCCAGGCCCTGCCTTAAAGTCTCACGTTATTAGAGTTAGAGTTAGCTTGACTCTTGCTCGATTCCTAAGAAAACCAAGATGTCTGCGTTCAAATTCCCTTTATCCCTTTTTCCACTTCCACAGTACCAATGTGAGATTTCTAAAGATAGCTACACCCAAGGTTTAAGAATCTGAAGTGCCTTCCAAAATCTGAGAGGGATGAGGTGTGGAGAATGCTTTCAAAGTTTTAAAAGAGCAACACTCCAATGCGGAAACTACAGAACCCAAACCACCAAAAAAGAAAATCAACCTTTTTCTGGTGGCAGCTGACTCAGATAATGAAAATGAACATGCGTTGGTCCACACTGCTTTGGACTGTTATTGAGCAGAACCCGTCATCAGCATGAACACCTGTCCCCTGGAATGGTGGTCGAAGCATGAAGGGACATATGAATCTTTAGCGCATCTGGCAAGTAAATATCTTGCAATGCCAGCTACAACAATGCCATGCGAATGCCTGTTATCACTTTCAGGTGACATTGTAAACAAGAAGCGGGCAGCATTATCTCCTGCAAATGTAAACAAACTTGTTTGTCTGAGTGATTGGGTGAACAAGAAGTAGGACTTAGTGGACTTGCAGGCTCTAAAATTTTACTTAGTTTTATTTTTGAATGAAGGTTTTTTGTACATAATTCTACATTTGTAAGTTCAACATTCATTATAAAGAGATTGCACTACAGTATTTATATTAGGTGAACTGAAAAATACTATTTCTTTTGGGGGGTTTTACAGTAGAAGTACTTGTAATCAAAAATAAATATGAAGTGAGCACTGTATACTTTGTTTTCTGTGTTTTAATTGAAATCAATATTTCTGAAAATGTAGAAAACATCCAAAATATTTAAATAAATGGTATTCTATTATTGTTTAATAGTGTGATTAATCATGATTAATTTTTTTCAATCTCTTGACAGCCCTAATAAATAGTAATAATAACACACCCTTTATGCCCCAAAAATATAACCAAGAGACTTAGTGGTATGTACATTGTTCTATGCTATATTTCAGTGAAAATGAAGAAGGAGCAGTAGAATACAGATGACCATGTATTCTTGTGAAAACATTGCAGGTCCTAGCGCAAAAGCTCTTACTTCTTAAGTGCACCTGCTAATTAGTGACAAGCCTGATCTATAAAATTCTGGTGCAGATTTCAAACCTCTTTTCTCTTCCAGAGTTTTTGTGGGGTGTAGTTCAGCCTTTCATAGACAATGGGATCAGTTACATCATCCATGTCTGGCTTTGAATTCCAAATCCCCAAAGTTCAGGGATATTTAGATCTGAGGATTTGATTCTGGACCAATATTACTGATGATTCTAAACTTTGATGTTACTAAAGAAAGAAACGTGACTTGCTAGTGAAAACACAATGACCAAAATTTTCAAACCTGGGACCAAAAATTAGACACCTAAGTGAAAGAGGCACGACTTTCAGAAGTATGAATTATTTTGAAAATCATTAATAGGTGGTCGGGGACTCTCTCCTCAGGGGGACTGAGTCATCTATCTGCAGCCCCGACCGGGAAAACCGAGAAGTCTGCTGCTTGCCAGGAGCTAGGATTCACGATGTGACAGAGAGACTGCCGAGACTCATCAAGCCCTTGGATCGCTACCCCTTCCTGCTTCTCCACGTGGGCACCAATGATACTGCCAAGAATGACCTTGAGCGGATCACTGCGGACTACGTGGCTCTGGGAAGAAGGATAAAGGAGTTTGAGGCACAAGTGGTCTTCTCGTCCATCCTCCCCATGGAAGGAAAAAGCCTGGGTAGAGACCGTCGAATGAATGGAAGTCAACGAATGGCTACGCAGGTGGTGTCAGAGAGAAGGCTTTGGATTCTTTGACCATGGGATGGTGTTCCAAGAAGGAGGAGTGCTAGGCAGAGACGGGCTCCACCTAACGAAGAGAGGGAAGAGCATCTTCGCGAGCAGGCTGGCTAACCTAGTGAGGAGGGCTTTAAACTAGGTTCACCGGGGGAAGGAGACCAAAGCCTTGAGGTAAGTGGGATACCGGGAGGAAGCACGAGCAGGAGCGCACGAGAGGGCAGGGCTCCTGCCTCATACTGAGAAAGAGGCATGATCAGCGAGTTATCCCAGGTGCCTATACACAAATGCAAGAAGCCTGCGAAACAAGCAGGGAGAACTGGAAGTCCTGGCACAGTCAAGGAATTACGATGTGATTGGAATAACAGAGACTTGGTGGGATAACTCACATGACTGGAGTACTGTCATGGATGGATATAAACTGTTCAGGAAGGACAGGCAGGGCAGAAAAGGTGGGGGAGTTGCACTGTATGTAAGGGAGCAGTATAACTGCTCAGAGCTCAAGTATAAAACTGCAGAAAAACCTGAGAGTCTCTGGATTAAGTTTAGAAGTGTGAGCAACAAGGGTGATGTCGTGGTGGGAGTCTGCTATAGACCACCGGACCAGGGGGATGAAGTGGACGAGGCTTTCTTCCGGCAACTAATGGAAGTTACTAGATCGCAGGCCCTGGTTCTCATGGGAGACTTCAATCACCCTGATATCTGCTGGGAGAGCAATACAGCGGTGCACAGACAATCCAGGAAGTTTTTGGAAAGTGTAGGGGACAATTTCCTGGTGCAAGTGCTAGAGGAACCAACTAGGGGCAGAGCTCTTCTTGACCTGCTGCTCACGAACTGGGAATAATTAGTAGGGGAAGCTAAAGTGGATGGGAACCTGGGAGGCAGTGACCATGAGATGGTCGAGTTCAGGATCCTGACACAGGGAAGAAAGGAGAGCAGCAGAATACGGACCCTGGACTTCAGAAAAGCAGACTTTGACTCCCTCAGGGAACTGATGGGCAGGATCCCCTGAGAGAATAACATGAGGGGGAAAGGAGTCCAGGAGAGCTGGCTGTATTTTAAAGAATCCTTATTGAGGTTACAGGGACAAACCATCCCGATGTGTAGAAAGAATAGTAAATATGGCAGGTGACCAGCTTGGCTTAATCCTTGCTGATCTTGAACACAAAAAAGAAGCTGACAAGAAGTGGAAGACTGGACAAATGACATGGGAAGAGTATAAAAATATTGCTCGGGCATGCAGGAGTGAAATCAGGAAGGCCAAATCACACCTGGAGTTGCAGCTAGCAAGAGATGTTAAGAGTAACAAGAAGGGTTTCTTCAGGAATGTTAGCAACAAGAAGAAAGTCAAGGAAAGTGTGGGCCCCTTACTGAATGAGGGAGGCAACCT